CCAAAGTGCGCCCTGAATGTAATTCCAAATTAAAACCACTTTGATCGGAATTGTAAACATTGAGTGGTTCATTTCGGGCTCTATATAATTTTACTTCATTCACGAATGCGCTGCATTGCAAATGAATATCGTCTTCTCGATTTACCACATTTGTGGTTACAAATCTGGTAATTTTTCTGGACACTAATCTAAACGTCTTTTTAAAAGTATCTAGCCAAGTATGTCCGGCTTTAAATGTTTGTAAATTTTCTATATCTCTCTCTTGTAAAGCCCATCGCCGTAGATCTACTTCATGCACAATTACTCTTAACTGCCGAGCTTCCATAAATTTATTAAATGTATACTCTGCAATACGTTTTACCTTTTCCTTTTTTGTGCCACCCTGTTCAATTTGTAAAGCCCACTTACGAAGCATTCTTTCGGATTTCACGTGACGGAATTTGGAACGCACGGTGTCTAATTTTAATCGCTTCGACATACCGCTGTTCCAGTACGCCACAGCTTTCCTTTTATATTCGAATGGGATGTATTCCTTATTCGAATGACATACAACGTTTTCTTCGTACATGTTTGGAACATTCGGTGTCCTATTTTCCTCCTCTTCATCTAACCAGTTCAAATCAGCATCCTGAATTTCTTGTTCGATAGGCGTCCCGTCCATTTCAACACACGTTTCATGTTCAACCAGGAATGCTGTGTCTTCGACACTTCTTACAATTAAATCGAATAATACATCCCTTAAATATTCTTCTGCGATATTAATTGCTGTGGGTCCCTGATTCCACTCAACAAACGCAGCAGACAGTAAAGTTATTACATTAATAGGATTAATATTTACCATCTTTCCGAATACTCGCGTTTTATGATCGTTAACAACTGAACTGTGTGGATGACCAACAATGTTCTACACGCTTATAAAGAGCTAATTGCAATATATATATCCAAGTTCTCCCACTTGTCTACCAACAACTATTATTTTCACATGACAAGGGCAATCAATTTAATTAACATTACAAAACATTATCATGTTTATTACAAAAATCGTCTCGGTTTTAAAGAATGTTAATAACAACAGAGATAAAGATGCACATATTAATCTCATTTGACAAGTATTTTTATTGTGCAGATTACACAGAATGCTTTCAGTGAAGATTTACATAACGTGCGCAAACTGCATGATAGGCGAGCCACAAAAATTACAATATTCATTTATTCAATTTGCATATTAAAGCAAGTATGTCATGAGAATAATAAGTGCATCTTTATCTGTATAATTGTATACTGTATACTGTATAATTTCGTGCAAGGCTACAATGCTTCATTAAAATGAAAGTTAGAACGGCTGCTACCATAGTGGATGTGCGCGTAAGATGTAAATCATCAAAATCTGCAAAACTGTAAGAGGCAATTTTAAAATGTTATATACTACTGGATTTGAGATTTTTCGCTTTTAAGTAAAGGAATAATTAATTTTCTTTCTGTTACCAAAGTTTTTCTCGTTTTCAGAATTTCTTCTATTTGATAAGTGTGCACCGACAGACAGTTTCCTCAGAATTGAATTGATATACCAAATATGGGACATAGAAGAAAAAGGAGGAAGCAAGTGAAAATGATAACGATTTTCTCTTGTCATTTTCCTGGTTAGGTTGCATATGTACGAGGGTAGTCCCAGAAGTACCCGACCTAACAAAGAAAACAATAAATTTGGGAAAAAGTATCTTTATTTCTCTACATAGTCTCCTTTTAGCTCGATACACTTTTCCCAGCGATGTTCAATAGCTTCAATACCCTGTTTATAGTAAGAATCGTCGAGCTCCTCAAAATAGCCATCAACCGCAGACTCCACCTCTTCATTGTTGGCAAATCTTTTACCACCGAGCCATTTTTTCAAGTTTGGAAACAGAAAATAATCCGAGGGGGCTAAATCTGGCGAATAGGGTGCGTGAAGAAGCAATTCGAACTTTAACTCATTGATTTTGGCCATCGCGATAACGGATGTGTGAACTGGTGCATTGTCTTGATGAAACAAAATTTTCTTTTTCGCCAAATGCGGCCGTTTTTTCTTGATTTCATCACTCAAACGCTGCAATAAGTTCGCATAATACTCGCCGTCGATTGTTCTTCCTTTCTGAAGATAATCAATGAAAATTATCAAAAAACTGACGCCATGACCTTGCCTGCAGATGGAACTGTCTTCGCCTTCTTTGGAGCCGATTCTCCCCTTTCAGTCCATTGTTTTGACTGTTCCTTTGTCTCAGGTGTCAAGTGATGGACCCATGTTTCATCCATGGTTATGTATCGACGCAAAAACTCTGCTTTATTGCTGTGAAACTTCGCCAAACACTCGATTGAAACATCCTCACGACGCTGTTTTTGTTCGGC